CTCCACGTATCTCTGCAGCCACTGCACACAGGTTTCCTCCAGGTAATACTTCAACCTCTCAGCAAAGCTCCCCTCACCCTCCCATTTCCTCTTGGTGGGAACTGCCTCTGGAACTGCCGCAGTGAACGTCTTCGTGTCTTTGTCGAAGGCAATGAAGTCTCTCCCATTGTAGGCAACCTGATTATACCCCCGGGTGGTGCCGTCCTCAAGAATGTCACAACCGTACATCTGCTGCCGTGTGTTAGACCCTGAAACAGAGCCGGGCAGGGGGTGAGGAGCCCTTCCGGCTCCGGGGTCCCACTGCAGTGGGGAGGGGTTGGGGTCCCCCGGGACGCGGCACCCCGAGCTCGGTGCGGCTGTGACGGGCAGCGCCGGCACGGTGCCGCCGGGCAGGGCCAGGCTTGCGGGGCGCGGGCAGCACTGCGCCATGGAGCCCCGCCCCGCACCCACGGAGCCGCGGCCCCAGCCGTGCTCACCGCCGCTCTGGTTGAAGCGTTTCGGTACATTGTCCAGGTTCCAGCGGTTAGTCTGCTCAGTGCTCTGTGAGATCTCCGTCTGTCCGTCCCAGTACTGCTGGTCCATGTTGGCCGCCATCCACTCGGTGCGGGGCACGAGCCTCCGCGCGGTGCTGTCATAGTGCACGAAGATCTCGCCGTCCACGTACCCCGCAATCACGAACCAGGGCAGCCCGGGGCCGGGATCCGTCATCGCGGTGTAGAAGTACCGCATGGAGTGCGGCTCTGCGGGGCCGGAGCGCAGCGGGGCCGTGAGCCGCGGGTGGGGGTCCCACGGGCACAGCCCCGGGCTGGGGTTACGACTAGGGAGGGGTCCCGGTCCGGCCGCACTCACCGCCCGCCGCCCCGCACGCGGCGCCGAGCAGCAGCAGCCCCAGGCGCAGCGCCCCGCACGTCCCCATCACTGCGCACCGCTCCGCACCCCGTGCCGCTCCTTCGGCTTTTTGGACTCCTCAGCACCGCCCCGCGTCCCCATTGGTTCCTCCTCCTCCACCTCGCCAATGGCGGACGTGAGCTTGCGTGACGTCACCGGGCGCCAGGCAGAATGCGCTCCTGCAGGTTGTGAAGCGAAAGCGAAAGCGCTTAGTGGGGGAGGAGAGGGGCGCGGTGTGGGAACCCTCCGGGCCTCCGAGCAGCGGGGAACTCGGCTGTGTCCCCACGGGGCTCGAAAGGCAAATGGGATCCTGGGCTCCATCAGGAGAGGGGTGGCCAGCAGGGACAGGGAGGTGATTGTCCCTCTCTACTCGGCTCTTGTGAGGCCCCATCTGGAGTACTGTGTCCAGGTGTGGAGCCCTCAGTACAAGAAAGACATTGAGATTTTGGAAAGGGTCCAGAGGAGGGCGACTAAGATGATCAGGGGGCTGGAGCACCTCCCCTATGAGGACAGGCTGAGGGAGTTGGGCTTGTTCAGCCTGGAGAAGAGAAGGCTGCAGGGTGACCTCATTGCAGCCTATCAGTACCTGAAGGGAACCTACACCCAGGAGGGGAGTAAACTCTTCAAAAGGGCTGACAACAGCAGGACTAGGGGAAATGGTTTTAAGTTGAAGGAGGGAAGATTTAGGTTGGATGTTAGGGGGAAGTTCTTTACTAGGAGAGTGGTTAGGCCCTGGAACGGGCTGCCCAGGGAGGTTGTGGATGCCCCGTCCTTGGACGTGTTTAAGGCCAGGTTGGACGGGGTCCTGGGCAACCTGATCTGAATGTGTATGTTTGGTGGCCCTGCTAGGCAGGGGGGTTGGAACTACATGATCCTTGGGGTCCCTTCCAACCCGGGTGATTCTGTGATTCTGTGATTCTGTGGGGCTATGTCCCGCCCCCAGGGGAGAGGGCCGAGGGTTTCTGTCAGCGGGACGGGGCAGTGGAGGAGAAATCATCCTCCATTCCATTCAAGGAGTTGTTTGGGGGGGTCGCGTCCATAGGGTCAGCAGCTCCGTGTCCTGGGGGGGGCGGTGACAGTGGTGCCCCCCAGGGCTCCCTTTGGGATCTGTGCCATTTCTCCGCAGCACCGCCCCGCACCACTTCCCCACATCCACGTGGGCCCAGCTGAGGTCGATGCCCTCAGGGTCTGCAGGTGGGCCCTGTTGTCTGCCTCCCGTTAATGATTGATCCCAACCCCGCTGCTCCTGTACTGCTACCCCCATCTGCCTCACACCGCTGGAGCCATGGGGCCTCGCTGGGCCTTCAGCCTCTTCTTCCTCCTCTTCCTCATTCCCTTAATGGATGGCAGCTCCCAGGACCCTGAGTATGGGGTTTTGCGGGTTAGGGTTGGGGTAGCTATGGGGTTGGGGTTGGTTGTGGGGTAGTTATGGGACTATGAATGTCTTGCAATGTCTGTGAGGGACTATGGGGCACTGTTGGGGTTGGGGGCAGCTATAGGAATGTGATGTGATGGAGCCTGGTGGGATTGAGGGAGATTTCTGTGAGGTTGAGGGGGTTATGGGGCCAGAGCTGGGGGGGTTTCCTCTGGGGAGGAACTATGGACCTAAGGGGTATCTGCATGCTTATGGGATCTGGGAGGGCTTATGGAGCAGCTATGGGGCTGGTGGCTCAAGCAGTGTTCCCTCAGGTTGGTGCTGGTGGCCCCCCCGGCGCATGGCCCTGGGGACTCCCATGGGGCTGTTGGTGGCAGCTGTGGGGCCGGTGACGGGGATGGTGACTGCATGGGCTGAGGGGGACCGTGGGGCTGGGCCCTGCGCCCTCCCAGTCCCATTTGCCCTCACACCCCACAACAACTTCAACCAGCTCCTGCACATTGAGGTATGGGGACACTGTGGGACGTGGGGGGATGTCCCTATGGAGCAGATGGACTCTGGGGTGTTCCTGTGGGGTGAGAGGGTTGAGGACACCCCCCCGTGGCACATAGGGACACTTGTGCACCCTTACCCATGTCACCTCACATCTCCTTCCCCAGAGCTCCCATTTCCCTAGAGCTCCCCCTTTATCCCCATAACCCAAATGTCTCCTGCTGCGTCCCTGTGTTCCCTGCAGGTCACCCCAGTGCAGGCTGAGCGCTGTGGGGCTCTGTGGGGTCGGGGGCTGCTCCTAGAGGCCCACAGCCCCAACCTGACCCCCCCTATCACCTGGAGTCTGCATGTGGCCCTGGGGGGGGCCAAGGGGTCACCTCATTGTGCAGACAGACAAACCTCTCTACGCCCCCCGACAGACAGGTGAGTGCCCCAAATCCACCTGGAGGCCCCCCAACCCTAAAGCCATCCCTCATCTGCCCACGATTCTCCCCCCAGTGCTCCAAATGCTCCAACTCACCTAAATAAACCCCAAAATTCTCCCCAAAGCCCCTCCAAACCTACCATGAATTCCTCAAATTCCCCCAAATCCACCCATTTTCACCCTCCATTGACCCATTTCTTCCAAATTCAACCCCAAGGCACCACAGATGCCCCTGGTCACCCAAAGTCCCCTAAATATACTGTAAATCCCTACATCCATAACCCCCACCTGTCCCCATTTGTCTCTCTGTCCCCAGTGCGTTTCCGGGTCTTCTCCATGGACCACAACCTACAGCCGAACCCCGAACCCGTCCTGGTCACCATCACGGTAAGGGCCCTATAAGGCTGGGGCTATGGGTAACCCTGTGGGGTTTCGGTGGCCCTACAAGTCTGGGTTCTCACCCTGTACCTCCATGTCCCCCCAGAACCCATTGGGTGCACGAGTGCGGGAGGTGCAGCGGGTGCCCCTGGACACGGTGCTGAGTGACCAACTGGTGCTGCCTGACATCGCCCTGTGAGTGGGGCTATAGGGGGCAATGGGGGGCCATGGGGTGGAACAGGGGGCTGTGGGGATTTGGGGCTACAGGGGCTGCAGATGGGCCAGAGTAGTGGGGTTACTGGGGCATTATAGTGGCCATAGAAGCTATAGGGGGTTGTGGGGAGTTATAGGACACCATAGGGGTGATAGGCACAGGGCTGGGGCTGTAGGGACTTTGGGGGAACTGTAGGTCACCTTAAGGGCCATAGGGGTCTACAGGGGTTGTAGGTGGATATGGGGGACCATAAGAGCCTTAGGGACTCTGAGAAGCTGTAGAATATAGGGACCAAAAGGGCTCTGGAGGGCTCTAGAGGTCTATAGGGGTCAATGAGGAGGGCTATAAGGGACTATAGGGTCTATAGAAGACTGTAGCAGGAGCCTATAGGGAACCACAGGAGCCTGTAAGGGGCCATAGGACACCACAGGGGCCATACAGGGTTGTGGGAGGCTATAGGACACCAGAGGGATCCTGTGGGAGCCATAGGGTCACCATGCCCCTGTGTCCCCAGCCCAGGGACATGGCACATATGGGCACAGTTGGCCGCCAGTCCCAGCACCAACGGCTCCACTGCCTTCGAGGTGCGCAAATACGGTGAGTGGGGTCCAGGGGGTCCCTGCTGTGCCCCCATACCCCCCATAACCCCATCTGTTGTCCCCAGTGCTGCCTGGCTTTGAGGTGCGCATCCGCCCTGAGCGTGGCTTCGTTGTGCTGAGTGACCCCGAACCAGCCCCACTGCGCATCCACCTGCACGTCCAGTATGGGACCCCTGGAGACAAAATCCCCCCAAATCCCCATCTAAATCCTATCCAAATCTCACCCGATCTCCCACAAATTCCAGCCAAAAATTTCCATACATCTTCTCCCAAATCTCCCAGATCCCTTCCAGCTCTCCTAAATTCCCCAAATTCCCCTCCAATCCACCCTAAATCAGTGGCCCTGATGTCATTTGGAGTCAATCCTTCACCCTATAACCTTTGGGTTCCCCCAGCCCTATTGACCTCTGGGGCACCTTGACCCTATTAACTTTTGGGATCTCTCTCTTTGACCTTATTGGCCTTTGGGATCCACCCCCCTGACCCTATTAACCGCTGGGGACCTCCTGACCCCACTGACCCTTTGGACCCCCAGATTCCCAGATGGAGCACCTGTGTGGGGCCGTGCACAGCTGCGTGTGGGGCTGCGGGATGCTGGGAGCCGGGGAGGTCGCTTCCTGCGGGGTCTGGAGCAGCAGTGCCAGGTGAGACCCCAAAACCTACAGGGGGGTTGACCCCGCCCCTTTCCATAACCCCACCCCTTTCCATTACCCCACCCTTCCCACAGCCCCACCCCTTTCTCATAACCACGCCCCCTTAGCCATAGCCACGCCCCTTCTCACTATCCCCGCCCCCAGGTGACAGAAGGCCACGCCTCTCTGGAGGTGTCCCCGGTGGGCGTGGCCAAAGCGGCGGGCGTGGCGCTGACCGACCTGCAGGGGGCGCAGCTGCGCCTGGCGGTGGGCGTGGTCGAATCGGCAGGTGGGCGGGGCTTCGGGAAAGGGGGCGGGACCTGAAAGCTTTTGGGGTCCCAGAGGGGTTTTTGGGGTCCCAAAAGGGTTTTGGAGTCTTGCGGAGGCTTTGGGATTTCAAAGGGGTTTTCAAGGGTTCCAAGAAGATTTTGGGGTCCCTCGAGGATTTTGGGACCCCTTGTTATCTCAGGGTGATTTGGGATCCCCAAGTGGGGGTGAGGCCACGAAGGGGGCGTGGCCACAGAAATGGGCGTGGCTACGGGGTGGGCGTGGTCAGAGGGCGTTGTGAGGAGGAGGCGTGGCCTGACGGTGTCCCGCAGGGGGCGAACTCGTGGAGCGGGAGCTGCTGGTGCCGCTGGTCCGGTCCCAATGGACGCTGCAGCTGCAGAGGAGCGCGCGGTTCTTCGTGCCCGGAGCGCCCTACACTCTCGTGGTGAGCAAATCTGCGCGTGACTGTGCAGAGAGGTGCAGATGTCTGCGTGTTCGGGGCGCGCTTTTGCATTCTTGCGCGAGGCCGTGCGCATGCGCTGTTCTCACCCGGTGCGTGCTGTGGTGCTCCCGTAGGGCCGGGTGCTGCAGGCTGGGGGAGGCGCAGCCCCGGGGGTCCCCGTGAGAGTGACGGTGGGGGTGACCAGAGCCCCCGCACCGCCCCTCATAGAGCTGCGGG